TTTGCTCAGATTTGAGTAGATAAAAATGTTTTAGATGGAAAAAATGTGTAGATTTATGAGATGAAGAAGTAGACTATGTGCAGGGAGCAGATATGTATTGGATGGAGCAAAATTCGGTACAGCACGGAATAGAAGGCTCCCTGCACGGAGTATTCTGCTCCGAGCACGGAGCCCACGCACGGAGCAATTTTTTTTTCTTTGTTAAAAAAATGTTTTTTAAATAATTTACAGATGTCTTTAGAGTATGCATTGTCTCCAAATCAGTGGTTTGCTGCTACGATCACTCAATATTCAAATCATCAATACCTAAAAGATTTCATGAAATTTATAAACACTGATGAACAAACCTTTTTATTATCCAGTAATTTTTCTGGATTTATTTATGAATTTGTTTATAGAGGAGAAGAGGAGCAATTGAGCAGCAAATTAGTTCACGAATTTATAATGAGAATTGTAAATTGTGGTAAGAAAAATGAAATTTGGATGAGGTTGATAACAACTTGGCTAGGTTTCACATGCAAGAATTCTGTTTTAATACTGGATTACCTTGTCACGAAGCACCCATGAATATTGATTTTAATAGTGATCGACTTAGAAGTGAATATTTTAATGATAGCAAAAGGATCAGCATGAGAATATTTTCTGAAGTATTCCACATCTGTGATAATGAAGAAGATAAGTTTAAGCTCGAATTGGTTCTGTTGGTGGAGTGTGTCTTGAAACCAACTGGAAAGTACATTGATTATAGAAGTCTTAACATGGTTGACAATCTTGAAGAGTTTCTTGCGTATCCCTAGGGTCGTAAGTCATACTTTGTTTTGTTAAACTCTCTGAAAGAGTCACAACTGGAAAAAGTATAAAGGATACAACAGAATCAACAAATAGATTGTAAATATGCATTGCATGGATATCCTCTTGCATTCTAGGTAATTTTGTTTTATTTTTTATTATATATTTTGTATAATTTATTTATACACAAAAAAAAAATTGTATTCATCTAATAGGAATTTTCAATTATGTTATAGTATTGGATTTATGAAACATTTCTTGAAATTGGAGAAAAATTTGGACGCCGTAGATACAAAACAGCACAGATTCTATGAATGCCTAGATGGAAACCAAAATTTTATTTGACCGAGAAAATAGTCAAACAATTTTTAGCTAATGAAGAGGTATTTTTTTTATTTGTTAATTTGTAATTACATTTATATTTAATTATGCAAAAAAGAAATTCAATGATTCACATATTTGATTCTATAGATCCATGCAATTGCAATGCTACAACCAGAGAAACAAGAATTGCAAACATTATGGTACACTACTCTATCATTGCCATTGGACAATCAACACAGCATATTAAACGCTATTGTCGGGAATAGAGACCTGAACAATGTAGCACAACAACAAATTTTAGATGACCTTAATGTGGAACAAATGACTATTCCTAGTACTTCAAGAACACACGGTTCAGTTGGAGTTGAACCTAGCTCTGCAACATCTTCTGGTGAGTGCAACTGCATAACTAAAAAAGAAATGGAGGAAATGTTGGCTACATACAAACAACACAGTCTCGGATGTCACTTGTTTGTGTAGCAACTTAAAAGAACAAATTTCAAGAGAACAAGATGTTCATTATCACGCACTTCTTGAAAATCAAAAATAACTGTTTCAACAGCATAAAAAATGGCAAGAAGATCATATGCAATCTGGTTTTCAATTTGGTACCTAATCTTATGCTGACACTTCGAGCTTGTGTGAGAGTCTCTTCAATGATCATATGGATGAGGAATCAAAAAGACAATAAGCTCATTACCAAACAATCCTTGACAATCAAAGACAATTCTTCGAAGAACAACAAAAGTGGCAAGAAAATCATTATCAAAACATCAAATCGAGCATGAAATCTTATGTGGATGCCAACATAAATTTCATAAGATCTTATATCGATGAAAAAAATAAAAGTATGCTGAAGGAATTACATGATTGGGAATCAAATATGGAAGCAATTATAGGTTCCATGCAGTAAGATCTTCCTATAAGTACTTCAATTCCCAGTAGTTCAATTCTTACCAATCAACTGATGCCATGGTCGACATCTCAACAGCAACAAATTGAGAGTTTTGAAAAATTGAGAAGAGAAAGGAAAAATAAGGAGAAACAGGTACAATCTTTCACCTATAAATTATCCTTTTGAAGACTAACTCCTGGAGAGATACACATCTATTAGAGATTGGATTCTGAGACATCCATCTAGGTAACAAATCTAATTTTGCTTTGTTAGCTTAAATATTATAATTTTGTTACAATTTATCTAATGCCAACTTAAATCAGTTACACGGAACATATTGGGATGATCGATGTGGCAATATGTATGAAAGAGATATGTTGAAGACTTTATTGGATATAACAAAAGATATAACTATTGCAGTAAGTAAAGTTTAGCAATTACAATAAATTTTATTCGATTGCTATATATTTACTCTATGCTTATTTATTTTATTAAAACACTGAGGTGGAGTTAAAACTATTGAGACGACGAATTAATGATGATTGCACACTTGTTTCTAAAGAATATGTGATCATGGACTATGAATTTCAAACTGAATGTGTTCACTAGATGTTGTGACAAGTAAATGCATGAAAAAGAATTAACAGTAAAGATTAGCCAATGGAAACTCTTAATTTACAGGAGTATGTAAATGGTGGATTAGCTACAGCTGGTCGTCCATGGATACCGTGCAACTATTTATTAATTCTATGTTCGTATCCATGTAATACTTGGTACCTTTTTGTTGTTAATATTCGTAAGTGGAAATTCCAAATATAAGATTGCAGCAATGGTCACTACAACAAAGTTTACTTTTTACGGCGTACAATGCACGTCTTAAAAAGTTCTTTACGGCGTACAGGCGCATGCCATATAAAGCCATGCCGTAAATACTTGCATCCTTTTACGGCGTGCATTTGCCCACCGTAAGTACTTCAATTTTTTACGTCGTGCCAATGCATGCTGTAAATACTCATTTCTTTTACGGCATCACTTGCACGCCATAAAAAGTCAACTTTTTACCTTTTATAGCATGCATGTGCACGCCGTAAAAAGCCAACTTTTAACCTTTTACGGCATACATGTGCACGCTGTAAATGTGAATTTTATTTTTTAAAAATATTTATTTATTTAATTACGAACAAGCTTATAATAATTAAAAAA